CCCTAATGTTACTAGGTTTGCTACTAGAATGTGGCTGGCCTGAAAAGCAAATTCCACAGTAGCTATCTCTCTATTAACTAACAATAATTCACAACAAGCATGAAAAGAGATTAAAGGGGAAGAGGGAAGTCATTTGAATGAGACAGACAGTGAAATAGCTTAGGTTCTATTAAAAAAAAACCAATTACTGACTGAGTCAGAGGAGGCTGAATTAGAGAGGAAGCAAATAAGGGGACATGACAGAAGCATACAAAATAATGAATGTCACAGAGAAGGTAAATTAGGTGCTCCTATTGACCCTTTCAGTTTTGCTGGCTGTCTCTCTATTCTTGCATTATAAGAAAGGACACATTCTGTTACAGTTCATTTATTACCTGCCAATATAGGATTCACGAGATACTTGAATTGTATTTACAAAATGGAAAAAATAATCAGAAAGGTCAGACGGGATAGAAAAGTCTTGTGAAGGATCAGAATGTTCCCAGGCCTCAAACATGATCTGCAGAAACATTCATCTCAGTTACTGGGTCAAATCTAGCTCAGGCTGTTAGTTGTCAAATGTCACTTCCCTAAGGGAGATCTTCAGTGGCCTATGCGAATGAAGCCTTAGGGCTTGTGTACACAGCCCCACACTGCAGACTACAGCAGTGTGAACTGCATGCGCACCAAAGAGTTACTCTAACTACATGCTGCTAGACCCTGCTAGTGCAAATGAAAGTGGACCACATTAACAGGAACTAGGTACATTTTCATTCAGACTAGCAGGGTCTACACAGGGCAGTTACAGTGCAACACTTTAGGGCACACTACAACTTACACTGCCATATTCTGCACCGTGGGGCCATGGAGACAAGCCCTAAGTCTTTTACAACTAAAAAGAGAACCGGAGTACTTGTGGCACCTTAGAGACTAACAAATTTATTAGAGCATAAGCTTTCGTGGACTACAGCCCACTTCTTCGGATGCATATAGAATGGAACATATATTGAGGAGATATATATACACACACACACACGGCTGCTACTCTGAAACCTATCTTTTACAACTGACACCTTTGCTGGCAGTATAAGTTCAAATGTCAGTGCCTGAGAGGGCATCAAAGCTGAATTATATTTAAATGCTTAAGTGCAGTCTTTCAATTTCAGCACTGAGGCATGTCAGCAGGGCATCATGCGGAAGCTCGCAGTGCCACTGAATGTGTTGTACTCTTCAGTGGATAGAGCACTTAAGTTTTCCATACATCTAGCACTGTTCACCAGCACTCCAACTGAATCATAGAATATCAGGGTTGGAAGGGACCTCAAGAGGTCATCTAGTCCAACCCCCTGCTCAAAGCAGGACCAATTCCCAAATAAATCATCCCAGCCAGGGCTTTGTCAAGCCGGGCCTTAAAAACCTCCAAGGAAGGAGACTCCACCACCTCCCTAGGTAACGCATTCCAGTGTTTCACCACCCTCCTAGTGAAATAGTTTTTCCTAATATGAAACCTGGACCTCCCCCACTG